TAAACAATCAACCAATGAATTTTCAATTCTTGGTTGGCGGATTTTAAACGAAAGGGTTGAGTTGAAATGAGCTTTTAATGTTTATAAATACAAAAAGTCTGCACGATGACTTACTGGTGTATTCTCATGATTATTTATTATTGGTACGAGTGCCCGATTCTCCGGGTAGCGGATCCAAGTCGGGTACGCGGTCTATCTCTAATTTTAAATACAAGTACATCCTACAATGTATTTATAATTCGAATGAAGTTAAATCAACAATGGTCACAAAAAATTAACTAATTTATATTTTGCACAAGAACTTTTATACATATACATATGTTTTTTCCAAACGGTCTCCACTGTTGTTATTTTAGAGACATAAAAACCTGCTTAAAGTAATCAGTAATTCATTAGTTTGGTAATCACCAAAATTTCGTTATAAAAAACCAGAACCATCAGTAAGTAGTATCTATTAATTATGATCAGACATCCACGTGAAGCACATATTAATAAATTATTTATTTTCATCAATAAACTTGCGCATTTTGCTTTAAGAATGCGTATAAATTTTTTATATTAATTCATGAAAATTTTGTAATAAAGTTACATATTGTAAAGTTTGTGCAACAGTTCAGTTTATGATGAGGAGAAAGTGAAATTTATATATCTATTTAAATTGAACAACATTTCTAAAAATGAATGATGAATACGTTCTAGCATATATATGTACACATAAATGGAACTTATTGACGTGTGGTGTTAATTCCAAAAAATTAATAACTATTCATTTTACGTATTTAGAAAGATATGTAAAAAGTTTGCTATTGGTAGCTACAGAATTTATTTAAATTTATTTACGCTTTTTAGTACTGTTTTTATTGCACTAACGTTGTTTTTACAAAAAAAAATAATTAATTATGTAAAGTACGTGAATAAAAAAAAATATTTAGAGAATCAAAAGCTGGTTTTTTCAGTTGCATGGAGTACATTATTACGTCATTAAATACGTTGTTGTGTAATTATGTATATATGTACCAATGTTGTTTCTGAAACTTTAAGTAATTTAAAAAAATAATATAATATTTGTGTAAACAAAAAACAAACGTCTGATTTTTGTCACATAACTAATTTAAAAATAGCTTATGAACACCGTGTAATTAATTTCTTAAAACTACTTAGCATAATAATTGCTTACCGAATTATTTATTTGAATAGCGAATTTTAAGGGAGAAGTAAGAGACTCATTACGAATTGAGCATACAATTTGATATGTATGTATGTGATGCATTATCAATATTTAACTGCCTATTGACTTTTAATACAAAATCAAAAACAGATAGTAACTACATATGATTAAATTAACTTTGAAATTAATTCATCAGATTTATTATTGTATATTTTTATATATTTTGTTCGGAATACCCCAATACCGATGTGCATGATGGTGTTACAAATATTATTATTTGTAAAACATATACTTCTAAAAAAAGGTATTTTGTGTAAAGATAATAAAACAATACGTTATTGTTTTGACACCTTTGCTGCACATTTATTTGTTTGTTTTTTTATTATGCATTACGTATGTTTTTCCGAGTGCATTTTCAATTGAACGACTCCACTGAATTCTGAATTTTTCACGGAAGAAATGAAAACATTATTATAGCTATGAAAAAGCGACGTTTTGTAAGGTAAAGGTCAAACTTAATGCTTCTGTAATAATCCCATTTAAGTCTAATTTACATAAAAAATACAAATATCCAGTGGAAAAAACGAACGCAGTTCCTGTTTTTTTATCAACGATTGGAAACTTCCTTCTAAACGAGCTGAAAGTTCTAGAAGTTTAATTTAGTTTAACAGACACCAGACCTGTTTAATATCCGCATTGCTTTCCTAATTAATAGGTAACAATGACTCCTAATATAATTTCGTATTTTTTTTTATTAAAAAATGTAGATACATATTTAATTATTGAAACGTTTTCCTTGGATTTCAGTAAACGTTAGAATTAAAACTAAATAACCATTAAATCGAATCGTTATTAATAGGTCTAAGTTCAGTAATTTTTTAATAATCCATTAAAATGTTCACGGTAATTAATTATCGCTAAGTACTAAATTATCTAATGTGTGCATAAATATATACAGATCTGTAACTGCTAAATATAATCTCCGACAAAATTTTACAATAACAAATCAATCGTTTAAATAGCAAATATTTGTAACTATATGCATTTTACGTCAATTTATACGTAAATAGGTATCTAATATTTCAATTACCTGATCAGGGCCGGCGCAAGAATTTTTGGGCCCGGCTAATTGTAAGCGTCCTCACCGTCTGTTTTTTTGGAAAAGATAAATTTGTTCAAAATTGTAGTAATATTTACAAATTATTCAAAGTATTTCGGGACCCTTGTAATTTTAGATGTCTAATATCTGTTTTCTGAACTTCGATTTAGCAATAAATTTACCGAGTATAGTAGCATAATTTAAGAATACTTGTTTAGGTACCTACAATACTTGTTAATGATGGTCATCATAACTAGTTTTATTTAAACAGAAAGAAAAGGTTGCTTCTTATGTTAGTAGGTCATTAACGAGCGTTAAATTATTATAATTATATGCAGATTCGTTATTTGTTATAAAAATATTCATAATGTGTGATTACGTAAAACATTTCAAAAGGGATGACATTGTAGGTACGTCTTTTCGTAAATGATTTCAAATTAATACATACCTACAATAATTACTTAAATAAACTAACATATTTGGAGTCAAAATCAATTGCAGATTCGTTATTTGTTATAAAAATATTCATAATGTGTGATTACGTAAAACATTTCAAAAGGGATGACATTGTAGGTACGTCTTTTCGTAAATGATTTCAAATTAATACATACCTACAATAATTGCTTAAATAAACTAAAATATTTGGAGTCAAAATCAAATTTAAGCAGTTAGTTTGTTTATATGACGATTTTATGAAACAAAATCAGCCGTTAGCCTAGCATATTTTTTTATTTGTCTTGCTATTTACGTGGGTGCAATGTTATTTTCCACCGTTTACGTGCCATAAAACACGGGCTTTTCCATTATAATTTAATCATTACATAAGGATTATCTACACAAATCTGTAAATCCAAACTTGTTCTCTTCCTTAGATTTTCTTTAGGACTACTAATAGCGAAAATGATGACGATAAAGATATCTTTTCCGTAATCAAAATTAAGTTAAAATTGCATTACATACTGAATAATTCCATTCTTATGTTTTTAAAGATTTCATTCATGTAGGTATGTTTGAAATTTTTTAATAGTAAGTGTCAAAGAAAATTGCTACTTTATATTTTTTTTTTATGGCCCAAGGCACTCACGTATAATTTCTACACGCTTTTCAACTTTCCATTACCAATGCATTCATAAAATTAATGAGTAGTAAACTTTTAAATCTTCATTTACCTGCTAAGTATAATTGACATTACAATTACTTACCAATACAACATGTGTAGTAGTATTACAATATTTAAGAAAAATCATTTACGCACTTAAAAAAATATTATTTATAAATGTTATATGAAGAACGGGCCAGCTGGCCGTGAGTGTCAAAAAAACAATTATCAAGAATAATGTAAACAAACAGAAAATGTCAGTTTAGATATTTAGTAAATTAAAATTTAAAAAAATTAAGCTTGTTTGTTTGGAATCAAAATTCATAATGTCAAGATCTTTTATGGTGGCGAGGTCATTCAGTGGGCAATTTATTAAAACCTTAGTAAATTCAGAAAAGAGCATAAATGAACATGCAATTAGCAAATTTATTTCCGAATTTCTAAGAAGTACGAAGATTCCTTTTTACGATGTAGCTAATTTACACGAAAAAACAAATGTACTAACTGAAAACGAATTAGTGGATGGCAGGCTAATGAAAATAGTTTCTACTCGAAATAATGGACCTTTAAGTGAGCTAACTGGTAAGATGCGATGTGACCTAAAATCATATGATAAACTGGAAAATCAAACTCAAGAACCGTTTCTACGTCTAAGCCACTCTCTGGATAAAAGAAAAGAAACGTATATTCCAATATTCTGGTTTACCCCCGCTGGTACTCGATTTTTTGGTGGCTGTCCTCCTCCCAAATGCCCTCCACCATGCCCGCCACCGCCGAGATGTCCGCCTCCATGCCCGCCACCTTGTCCACCTCCCAAATGTCCTCCTCCTTGTCCACCACCGTGCCCACCACCTTGTCCACCGCCATGTCCACCACCTTGTCCTCCGCCATGCCCGCCACCTTGTCCACCGCCGCCTAGGTGTCCTCCGCCTTGCCCGCCACCACCATGCCCACCTCCGTGTCCGCCGCCATGTCCTCCTCCACCTAAGTGTCCACCACCGCCACCAAAAAAATGTTGAAAAGAAATTTACAAACTTCTCAAAACTCTCTATTTTTATGTGTAATATTGAGTAGCAATTAAAAATATAAAATATGTTATAAAACAATGAAAAATTAAACCCATTTTAACAAAAATACAGAGGAAACATGTACGTTTTGCATGTACATTAGGGTGGTTTTATTTAGATCTTTAACTTCACAAAATACATAAAAATAAATAAAGTAACTTATATCTCTTAACAGTGTAAATAGCTAGTGTTTTGNAATTGTACCATAATTAATTTAAACTAAGATTTTTTCTTATGATTTTTATTCAACCTTTCTTTATTTTATTTTTCTGTATTTAAGAATCACAAGAAAACGAAGAAAATGCTTACGAAGATGATGATGATGATGATGATTACTTTACGCCTGTAAGATTCATTGTAAATTTTACACTCCTAAACGAATTTTATAACATTTTATTTTTAGGATTTCAGTGCTACATATAAAAGTATGGTGGATGCAGGACAACAACTAAGAAACATTTCAAAATAAAAAAGCCGACATATGGTCAATTGGGCAGTACAGAAAATATTTTTTTACCTACTTTTGTGAAAAAAAATTCACCCTGTATATAAAAGTAATGGTGACAGTTATTGTCAGTTAGTGTTTTTGTTGGGATTTGTAGGTTAGGTTGAATCTTTATACGCTCGGTTTGGTTTGTAATGACTATTTAATCTAATTAAAGTAAAATAGAATGAGTGGCAGCAGTAATTATGAAAATAGGAAATCCATTGGGAAGGGGGGTAATTCTCCCGAATATAATTATCATCCAGTATGTTTGTGATGGTGACAAAACAAGTACTATTTACATGTTTGTTATACTTTTAGAACAATACACAACAGTCGCCGCAATCCCCGTCTTATCATTGGGTTAATCAACCCCCACCGCCACCACCTGCATCTAATTTAGCAAAAGACACCACTAATAACTCAAGCAACTCTGGTAGTGATAATTATTATTTTCAATCAGGTGAAGTAGTTTCACCACCAACTATCCCTTGGCATGGAGAGCAAAATCATACCTTTAAAATTCCCTTTCCTCCACCTCATTTTAGGCCACCGTTAAACAATAGGATGAGAGGTCATAATTTTCGACAAAGTGGTCAGAAACGTCCACATTCTAATGATGACAATTATTTCAGATCTCCTTATGCAAAAAACTCCTTTCCTCCTTCTCTCCCTCCTCCTTATAACACTTATAACCCAAATTATGGTAAACAGTCAAACTATAGCAATGGTCCACCAAATGATGCATCTGGTTATCATTTTGTTAATCAAAGATTTTTTAATACCAGGCGAGGGTAGGAAATGATATGGAGGGAAGTTATATTGGATATTATTGTTTTTGTTTTTATAGGTACCCGTCAAATAGGCCCTACCGACGAATACTGCATAACAAATGGCCTTCAAGAGAAGTTAATGATACAAGTGATACAAGAACTAAATCTCAAAAGAAGAGAAAAAAGCCCCTATCCCAAAATAATCCCAAGAGGAGAGATTGGAGCCTTGATGATGTTATCAAAGCTCTTTCTTTAGAAAAAGAATTAAATAAAAAGTGTAAAAATCATTCCTTGATTATAAAATTTCCTGATCATGAGCTTAATAAGGACATTGTGAGTGGATTTCATCCATCTATAGAAAGTGTTCATTTTCAGCAGCCTTCTACTCCAAGATTTTGTTTTATTACATTAAAGGTACATAATTCCATTCTATTGCAACAAATTAGGTTTATATTAGTACTATTAATTAATGTAGTTTAATTCATTTTTTTTACATACATAAGGAATCTGTTGACCCAGATGCAGTTATAGCAGCACTTAATAAACAAAAATTTGGAGATGGCTATATAGCAGCAGAATATAAACGTGAAAAAGAAGATGAACAAAGCAGTAATCCTGAAGACATTGACCCTCTGGCGTTATATGTGGGCAACTTAACTCAAGAAATAACAAAAGACGATATGGTCAGCTTGTATCCAAGGAGTAAGCGAATCGACATCGGTTTTGCAAAGAAAATGAAGTATACGCGCTACGCGTTTGTGCGATTTCGAACAGTTGAAGATGCTATAGAGGCATTTAAAAGCACTCACGATAAACAAATGTACAACAAGAGTTTAATAGTTCGATTTAGACGGTTTAACGGACCTGTGGGTATGCCAGGTGAACCTAAACCCCAGAAACAAAAAGATGCTGTACAAATTGATATTTCTGAAGAAGCGGACGCAGATGAAAAAGATTCAAAGTCAAAAATAGAAAAAGTGGACGAAACGTCAAATATTTTCGCAGATCTTTGGAAAAACGCTGACGAAAACATTGGGGAACCATTCAGGCCTATTATGATTAAGAAGGAGCCCCTTGAATGTGATGATGAGGATGACGATGAGGAGTATGAATCTAAGCCTATTGTAAGAGAATTCACGACATCATTTGCGGAAGGTTCAATTGATAAGTTATTTTCGAAAATCAAACCAATAAAGGTCAAGAGCGAAATTAAAAAAGAAAAAGATGCTGATGATGAAGAATTCGATCAACGAGACACCGAAACATTACCTCCAAATGAATCTGTTAGCGTTGACAATAAAAGAAATGTCTCTATCGATCAAATTAGACGGACTAACGAAAATTGCAGTGGCAATGCAATAAAAACTGAGCCAGATGTATATACAAGTAAGTAAAGTGCGACTTTTGTGTATTTTATTTATGTAGGTATAAACGTCAAAGTAAATTGGTTCTTAATATAAATAGGTACTATCAAAATACATAGATAATTCATTTGATTCCTAAGTTAATACTTATTGTTAGTATTAAAAAAATACTTGCGATTAGTATCTCGACGAAAAATGATATAATATAAGATGATTTAAGATACAGTACCAAAATTAAAGTTAGAATAGTTTTCCTATTAGGTGAAAGACTTTATCAGGGCACCAAAAGGCTATACGTTCGTTAGCTTATTAAATGAAACTCATTTTTGTCTGTATCTTGACTGTGATTTTGACACTATATTAAATAGTAGTAAAACAATAGGAAGAAATGGAAGGAAACTGAAAATAAGTAGCTATGAAAAATTTTCAGTTTTTTATTCTAATTGTACCATAATTAATTTAAACTAAGATTTTTTCTTATGATTTTTATTCAACCTTTCTTTATTTTATTTTTCTGTATTTAAGAATCACAAGAAAACGAAGAAAATGCTTACGAAGATGATGATGATGATGATGATTACTTTACGCCTGTAAGATTCATTGTAAATTTTACACTCCTAAACGAATTTTATAACATTTTATTTTTAGGATTTCAGTGCTACATATAAAAGTATGGTGGATGCAGGACAACAACTAAGAAACATTTCAAAATAAAAAAGCCGACATATGGTCAAAATATTTAATGCAGTTTTACAGGCTTTGATCTCAATTTTTAACTACTCTTTCGTAATATATAATCGGTTATTGTAAATATACGTATTTAGTAAAAGTTTTATGCTAATTTAAGTTTTATTAATTTATAATTATTTACTATTTGAGCATTTCTAAAGCAATTATTGTATTTTCCGTATTTTTTCTGAAGATGTGATTTTATACGCTCACATAAATAATTGATGTAAATACATGTTTGCAACTAGTGCATGTATAAATAAAGGAATAAAAAGCTAGAAAAACAGAAATAAATACTTCTTATATTTTAAATAATTTCATTTAACAATGTACAGCAGATATAATTTTGCATTTGCTATAATATTTTTTGTTTATTTAGTAGTTTTAGTTTGTTGTAATTAACGCTGGGAGTAATAGTTTTAATGACTAATAAATGTTTGAAATTAGAATAAGAAATTAATAAACAGCAACTGTGAGAGAAAGTATTCATGTATAAATATGTTTTCTTAACATTAAATTAGTCTTTAATAAAAAAAAGCAATCAAATTCCTACAATAAGCTTACCCACAACTAATTTATATATAAATAGGGATTTTATAAAATATGTATGTGCAGCTTACTTTTCTTCTCCATACTGTAACAAATGTAAGGCCTTTTGTAGATTTTCAATAGCATTTTTAACGTCATCATAATTAAGGGCAGACCCTGCCCATTTACAATACTTCTGTGCTTTTTCCATTTGATCTGGTGTTAAGTTAGTGGTAGGAGTTACTGCAGATACAGGAGCTGTATTTGGAAAAGTTGGGGCTGGCTGAGGATTTGTTGGATCAAAAGAAGGCACAGATGGAAGGTCTGGCCAACCACCAGCTGAAGCTGGAGTCGGTGTTTCTGCTGGACTTGCTGGAGATGGAAAAGTTGGAGCTGGAGTTGAAGGTGTAGTTGGTGACTTTTCAGGAGGAATACTTGGTTCTGCATTACTTGTAGAAGGAGTAGTATTTGTTTCATCATTATCACCAATTTTTATTAGATTATCATTTTCACCAAAAGCACTGGAACCAGGTCTCGGTAATTCACCATTTTTAAGGCAGTTGTGAATATAAGCAGCTTTCCATTTTGCATACTTCTTCTTTTCCCGAATTTCATCACTTGGTGTCCCAAACTGGCTCAAGATGTCCATTAAAATTCCACATGTATAAAATGCCTTCACAACATTTCTGTAACAAATACATACATTAATTAATGCTCTACATTAAATTTAATTTGCAGAACTAATAAAACATATTAGAAGAAAGAGTTTGGGCATACAGGCTGAGAAGTTGCAAGGAATGCTCTTCATCATCTTAGTGGAGCTGATACATAATACAAAGATGTAGATAAAAGAATTGGGAGAGAATCATGACATAATTGGATAGTGAAGATAAGAAAACTTCTGAATGCTCCATTCATACAGGAACAAAAAAAAAAGAAGAAACTACATTAAAAACAGAAAGCGTAGTTCTCAATCTACAAAATTTTTACTTACTTTCCGTAGTTTTCTGCACGGTCTTGTTGGTCTGCATAATTAAACAATTGCAAAGCATAATTTTCAATTAAAGCTTGGGCACAAACATCACTATGAACTCCCTCTAAATTTGGATTCCCTTTTTTAAGGGATTCTAACCAATCCATAATTGCAATCAAAAGTTTTGTTACTTCAGGAGGCTTCGTTTTTCCTTCCATTATTTTCATTGCTGTTTGACAAGCATACATTCGTGCTGTGAAGGATTAATATTATTGTAAAAATAAGTTAAGCAGTTACAATAATATAAAAAAACTAATTACTCTTACCCCAGTAACTAACGACAGGATCTCGCTCGTCATGTTCCTCAGCAACTTTCATATAATGAGCAATTCCTTTTATTTCTGAAGGAACGGATGGAAACGAAGGCATTTTGTTTAGTATTACTTATTATCTTATTTTATTTGCTGTTAGAAACTATAACATCACGGGCAAAAATACAAATATTAAATTTGACTTTTGCAAATGAAACGAACTAAAACGTCATTTAATGTAGACATGAGAGTAGGTTAGGTCATTTAATATAGCTAATAGATAGTATCACCAATATAAGAAAACAAAATTTTATTAACTTTTAAAATTTGATTTAATACT